GGGGGGCCTACCATAACAGATGCATTATTTAAAGTGCAAACAATAATCTAACAGGCTCTTTTCTTTTGCATTACTCTAGAATAAACACAGTCTTGGAAAGAGACCTCAGCCCACCACAATCCAGCTGCGGCCTTGTATAGGACATCATTTTTCTTTGTGACTGAGTTTCGAAGTGCTGACTTGTGATTGTTCAGCAACTTTTCAGATGGCATCCAAACCCGAAAAATAACATTCCAATTGGGAAACAAAAAGGGATGAAAGTGCCTTTGGACTTAGTAGGCAAGTTATTATTTATAAGAAGCTGTCTGAAGTAATTGGTTCTTTGGCAGGCTCATGTTTGTTCAAACACTTCTCAACAACCTTCATAAGTTGTTTGAAATTTCATTACTCAAAATACTAATAACTGGAAAACTTCAAATGCTGTGTGATTAGTCACATTACTGGTGAAGACAGTGGTTATTTGTTTCAGTGATGGACTGATCAGATCACTTTGTCCTTTTTCTCTACCCTCCAGGCTCAGAGTGCTGCATGGTCCGATTCGGGACAGATCTGGCTGCTGTTCCAGTACTATCATCAGTCTGGGCAAGTGCAATAGAAAATTAGCTACAGTGCTAACAGATGGCCCCTTTTAGTCCAGAAATCTACCCTGTTCAATGCACATCAGTTTAACACTTCTTTACAGCACATTTGATCTCTATGCGCCAGTCTGTCCCACCAATCAATGGGGCTTTTGATGTGCGCTGCCAATGCATCTGAGGCGCCTCAGCATTTCACCCTCAGAGGAGGAATCACCTACTGCCTCACTTAGAAAGGCAAGAAATGTTTTCCTTCTCTCACAGCACCTAGCTGTCCTGTAAAAGCTTAAGACTTCCTGCATAGAAATATTGTCCCAAGTTTTTAATGAAGATTTGATTCCATTGAAAATATTGGGATGGTTGTGTGGGAGTGGAACAATTTCCAGACTTCATGCGTTTAAGCCAAGGACAGGATGTAGAATTTTCTGCTGTTAGGGAAAAAACATGACTGTATGTCCATACTGTAACTGACTGAAGTAATTTGCTGTGAAATAGTAGATTTAAAGCAGTTTGAGACATAATCTTAACATTGTTCAATGTGTTACTTTTGGATCTAAAAGTGATTTCTGCTCATCTTCTGTGTATGTCTGCAGGCTTTTAAACATATGCTAAAAAGTGTAAAACTATATATATATATATATATATATACTCACTCAATTTAAAGCAGGTCTGTTGTGGAACTTTCCAGCCACCCCCTTAATATACTGTTGACTAAACAGAGTCATATCAGCACTCCTCTACTGTTACAGCACAACCAGCAACACATTTTGCGTCACCAACAGCATGTTGTGATGCACGTGGGCGTCACTGCACCTGAGTAAAATGTTGGGCTATTGAAAAGACTGTCTGGTTGATGGCAGCATTATAATGCCATTATAAATTATAGCGCATCAGCACACTTTTAAAGGCCTCTGCTCGAGTGCATAAATCAATCTGAGGCCATGTGTGTAACAGCTGTCAGTGGACCAATGTGTCAACAGACGGCACATCCCTCCCCTCCCATGAAGCAGGCGCTGTGGTTACCTAACCAACAGGAACAAATACCCTTTCAATACTTGATATTGATTGTAACAGAACAGCTCCACCTTTGACACATGGCCTGTCAGTAGCAACCACTGGCATTGCCACATCTGTTACTCTAGCCGAACAAAGACATATCCTGCTGCATTTTAGCAGATCTATTGCCCTTTTAAGGTGTTTTTCTGTCATTGTCCCCCTGTTGCTGCTGTTAGCACTTGAACAGAAAACGATTATGTGAAGGACACTCCCAGGCACAGCACACGAAAGCCAAACATGTTTTTGTGTCTGAGCAATTTTTGAGTGATTACCAGCACAAGGCTAATTGTGTGTGTGGAAGAAGCTACTGTAGCCTTGAGGAAATCTTTCCTGGCCAGAGTCAAAGAATCGTTGCTTTACGCAAGACAAAACCTCTCGGCAGGAACAGGAAAGAGATAAGTAAGAGGGCTGTTAAAACTGCAACCAGGTAGCCAATCAGGAAAAATATCCGACTATGAACCCTCAGGTCTCGCTGGTCCACAATTCACACACTAATCGACCTGTTAGCATGAGGTGTGAACAGGTGCATTCTTTTTATGTGATGCACAATGAAGGACATCACAGATGCGCTACAGGCACCATTTTAGGCAACTGAAGTTGTCTGACTTTGAGAATCAGGTACATTTTTAAAGAGATCACCATTATTAGCCTCTAAAGTTGCAAGTATTTTGGCTTGACTGTCACTATAGGGAAATCAGCATAGTCACTGAACACCATCAGTGCGATTAGCATCAGGTAATTTCCTTGTGGCATGCTACACTTTTAGATGCTGTGAATGGCGGCCCATGATTCTGGTTGAATTATCCAGAGACTTAATGAACATATCTGCTGTTCTTCCTCCACTTCCTGCCGAGGAGCACATGACCTCTACATGACACTATATTGTTATAGACAGACCTAAGAGTATTTTAGTTGTTTTTTCCTTTGATGATTTAAAATTCTTATTTGTCCTTTTTCCATTTGATGTGTGTACGGGCAGTTCCCTACCTTTGCTTCAAATTTCGCGAACACAGATTCTT